GAGAATGATTCATCATGAGAAGCAGGATACACAGCAGACTCATAGAATGGCAGATGTCCTAAACAGCACTCTGGCCTCAGAATCAGTCCTTAAGGCATTCGGATCTGGCTAAAGAGCCCATGAGAGTATTTTAGGCATGGAAAGCCAAGACACTATGGCAAAAATAAATAAATGAATTAATTAATTAAATGAAAGATCTCTGCGAGTGATATCCCAGTGGAAAGAATGGGCCAACAAAGAATCAAAGAAGGAGGTAACTTTCTCTGAAGGGAGGAGAGAAATTCCACTTTGACTATGACCTTGTCTGAAGGAGATCGGAGTTGGCGAACTCAAGAGGCTTCCATAGCCTTGGCAACTCATGACAAGAGCCTAGGGTGATTACTGATGCCATAAACAAGAGTGTCAATTGTTAGGTCAACAACAGGGGTCATTGTGCACTTCCTCCCCATGTAGGATCTCTGTCCTTAATGTGTTCTACTATGTGAATTAATGGTATAACTAGTATTCAAACAATACTTTACACTTTGTGTTTCTGTGTGGGTGCAACTGTTGAAATATATACTTAATATATACTAAATTGATCTTCTGTATATAAATATAATTGAAAATAAAAAAGGTTTTATGTTTTAAAACTTTTTATTTTTATTTATTTTTTCAAAAGGAAGATGTTTGCAAAGTCAACCCCCTGATTTCACTGACCCACTGATAAGAGGAATAAGGCAGGATGACTTGTCCAGCCCAATGGAGCCAGGGAGAAAGCATGGTCTAACCAATACAGGGCTAGCTTGAGGGCTGAATATGTTTCCATTTCTCTAGGACAAGATGTTCTACCTAGTTTTTCTCCAAATGTTTTCCAGCTTTCTTTGAGAGATGTTTATAACAATAAACACAGCGTGGATTTACATAGCATCAGGCACTTTAAAAGTTTTCATTTTATCTAACACACTCTGGGGAAGGCAGATGACTTTACCTCCAATCTACAGAAAAATGGAAACATGACTAGATGAGGAAGAACATTTTGGAATGGGATTAAGTACAACCTTTATCAACAGGCAGAGGCTCACCTGTGCCCTGTCCCACCATTGATTGTATGCTTAGCCCCTTCCTGAGCTTGTGTTTTCAGGTAAATATGGGCATGATCTTACTTAACTTGAAAGGTTATTAGGAAGACTAAATACAGATAGTCCCCAGTTTAGAGTAAATGCATGAAAACTAACTATCTAATGGGGGCTTATGTGGACACAAAACTGAGCTATTCTCTTTTCATTAAATCATATAGAGGTCAATTACTACAGGTTTTCAAATTAAAATAGAAAATTTAATTAGTTATATAATTCTGTATGTGAGCAGACACAAATCCTTTTCATTCTGACAATCTGAAAAAGGCACAGGAAACATTTTTTCTCCTTTATAGTTGTTTCTGCTACTTTTTTTTTCTTTTAAATCAATTTTCCTTTCATTGGAAGACTCAGGTATTTCATTTTGTTTTTCTAATAAACATTTAAAATATGCCATTTAATATATTTTTTTCAAAGTTAACTAATGGGAAACTGATAAATGTTGATTTTTACATTGTTAAAGTCAAATTTGTAAAATGTGTCATGTATATTTGTATGGATTTTAAATGTTATTTAAATAAAATATAATAAAAATAAGAGGTAAGATTTTAAATGATACAGAACAACTTAGTCTTTTTTAAATTTTTTTTGACAGGTAGAGTTACAGACAGTGAGAGAGAGAGAGAGATAGAGAGAAAGGTCTTCCTTCTGTTGGTTCACTCCCCAAATGGCTGCTGCAGCTGGCGCTGTGCTGATCTGAAGCCAGGAGCCAGGTGCTTCCTCCTGTTCTCCCATGCGGGTGCAGGTGCCCAAGCACTTGGGCCATCCTACACTGCCCTCCCAGGCCACAGCAGAGAGCTGGACTGGAAGAGGAGCAACCAGGACTAGAGCCCGGCGCCCATATGGGATACCAGCACAGCAGGCAGAGGATTAACCAAGTGAGCCACAGCGCCTGCCACGAACAACTTAATCTTATATTTTCTTTTCATAATAACCTACTTTGAAAAGAGAGAAGCACACACTTGGGCTGTTTGTGGCAGCTTCTACCCTTTTAAAATAAAACTAATCAGTTCTTCTGAGCCACAAATAAACACATATTTAATAGATGTCAAAGCTAGTTTTGGCCGGCACCACAGCTCATAGGCTAATCCTCCGCCTGCAGCGCCGGCACACCAGGTTCTAGTCCCGGTCAGGGCGCCAGATTCTGTCCCAGTTGCCCCTCTTCCAGGCCAGCTCTCTGCTGTGGCCAGGGAGTGGAGTGGAGGATGGCCCAAGTACTTGGGCCCTGCACCCGCATGAGAGACCAGGAGAAGCACCTGGCTCCCGGCTTCTGATCAGCGCGATGCACCGGCCACAGCACGCCAGCCGTGGGGGCCATTGGAGGGTGAACCAATGGCAAAGGAAGACCTTTCTCTCTGTCTCTCTCTATCTCACTGTCCACTCTTCCTGTCAACAACAACAAAAAGCTAGTTTTACAATGCTTCCAATAAAAATGATATATACATACATCCTTATATACATTGGTATTTTAAATTAAAATATACATTTGCATCTATTTGCTAATATTTGGTATAGAAATGCAGAAATGTGCCATATTCTTTGGGTTCAATTGAAATTTTACATGGTCTCTGTTACATGAATTACAACCAAATGCATCATCTTACACTTCCAGTTTGTTTCTCTGAATTTCTTCTCTTCTGTTTTCCATCCACCCTCCTACCTCCCCTCCCTCTGTCCCTCCCTCCCGCCCTCCCTCCTTCTCCTATTCCTCCCATCTCTCCCATATAATGAGATCTTGAAGAGGCAGGTGAAGCCTAGATTGAGAACTTGGTTACAACTCCTTCATTAATTGTTATAAGTTTACCTTAGTTTTTAGCTTTCTCTAACTCTAAATCATCAAAATTACTTTAGTGATTCAATGCATGAACAATTAGCAAGGCAGTACCTTTTGGTTTTCATATATTAGCAGTTTACAAATCCTCCATCAAGTTTAGTATTGCCCTAATATGTACAGCTGACACAAATGTGTAGAGCAAATGTAGTGTTGAGTAACATCCTTATCAAAGAGGGAGAGAAACCTAAAACTGAGAGCAATGGGTAACTATGGGCATCAGTCACTATATTTCAAGAAAAGAATGGAAAAAATCATTAGATGATCAGCGCTGTGGCACAGGGGGTTAAAGCTCAGCCTGCAGCACCAGCATCCTATATGGTCGCTGGTTCGGGTCTCAGCTGCTTTTCTTCTGATCCAGCTCTCTGCTGTGACCTGGGAGATGAGTGGAGAATGGCCCAACTCCTTGAGCCCCTGCACCTGTGTGGGAGACCCAAAAGAAGCTCTTGGCTCCTGGTTTCGGATCAGCTCAGGTCTGGCCATTGTGGTCATCTGGGGAGTGAACCAGCGGAATAGAAAACCTCTCTTTCTCTCTAGCTCTACCTCTCTCTGTAACTCTGTATTTCTAATAAATAAAATAATTCTTTTAAAAGAAGAAAATACTGGGTCCAGCACTGTGGCATAGTGGGTAAAGCCGCTGCCTGCAGTTTCAGCATCCCATATGGGCACCATTTTGAGTCCTGGCTGCACCACTTCCTATTCAGCGCTGTGCTATAGCTTGGTAAAGCAGTAGAAGATGGCCCAAGTCCTTGGGCCCTGCACCCACGTGGGAGACCTGGAAGAAGCTCCAGGCTCTTGGCTTCCGATCAGCACACTTCCGGCCATTGTGGCCAATTGGGGAGTGAACCAGCAGATGGAAGACCTCTCTGCCTCTCCTTCTCTCACTATGTAACTCTGACTTTCAAATGAAATAAGTAATTCTTTAAAAAAAAAAAAAAGAACCTTTAAAAAAAAGAAAATATTATCAGCCAGTTGTTGAGATCAAATAAGAAGGCATCTATTGTAATTACTTTCAAAATATTTGTAAATTATAATTACCTGCTGAATTGAAATATGTTTTAAGCAGCTTTGAATTTATGTTGAATAGCTTACAGTACCAGAAAGCACCTAGAATCCCTAATTAGTAATTACATACTATCTTACCTGATACCTACATTTTGACATGTAAAACATCCTTTTATCCCTCTGAGAACAAGAGAGAGCTACTCCATCCACTGAGAGAGCTACTCAATCCCAAAAAATGCCCACAACAGCGAGTGGGGCCAGACTGACGTCAGGAGCCTGTAATTTCAACTGGGTCTTGCACAGAGGTGGTTGAACCCAATTCCTCTGAGCCATCTCCTGAGGCCTCCCAGGGTGCACATTAACAAGAAACTGGAATTGGAAGTAGAGCCTGAGGAAACCAGACACTTCAATAGGGGGTGGTGTGGGTATCCCCAGCAGGGTCTTGTGCCAAAAGTCCTCCCCATCAATAATTTTTAATCTGTATACATAAAGTAATGGTAACAAGTGAACAAATCCCTTCCAGTTTAACTGACTGGCATAGAACACTTCCAAAAGCAAGCGTGACACAGCTCTGTGCCCCTGCTAAAAAGTTTTTATTTTTTAAAAGATTCATTTATTTACTTATTTATTTGAAAAGGCATAGAGGTAGAGGGGAAGATAGATGAGAGAGAGAGAGAGAGAGAGAGAGAGAGAGAGAGAATTCTTCCATCGGCTGGTTCACTGCCAAATGGCTACAATAGCTAGGTCTGAACCAGGCCAAAGCCAGGAGGGAGAGACTCCATTCTGTTCTCCCTCACGGGTGGCAGTGGCCCATATATTTGGGCCATCTTCAGCTGTTTTCTAAGCACATTATCAGGAAGCTTGGATTAGAAGCAGAGCAAATGGGACTCAAACTGGTGCTCTGATTTGGGACGCCTGACATCCCACGTGGCAGCTTAACCTGCCGTGCCACAACACTGGCCCTTGCAAACTACTTTGATCAGATTAGATGAAAGAATTGAGCAGAAAAGAAGAGTGGGAAAATTAATTTATCTGCTTTACATATTGGCTTAAGAAAATATCCAGACAAAATGTATTATTTCACAAAGGTGCCCTAGAGAAATCTCCGTGCTTAGTTATCACCAATATTTTAATTCAAACAATCTACATCACATATGGCCATTATGACAGTGGAAATGTTCTAGCAGAGCATTCCAACCACTCTTCTATCCCCCCGGAGACAGGAAATGCTTAGGTGTCTGCAGTTCTTTGAGGACAAATGGAAAGAGCACTGCCTGCCTTTCTGAGGGGGCGCTGGCTCATTTCGGGTGGGTTATTTCCCTGGCAGCCGTTTGTACTTCCAATACGCTGAAGCATCTCCATCCGATTCTGATGTCTGTCCTTATCTCTCAGGTGGTCAGGAGGGTTTCTACAATCTTTTATTAAGGTGCATTTGAGAATTAAAATGTATATATTAAGGCGTGCAACTTGCTGATTTAATATGTGTATCTACTGTGTAATAATAACCATAATTAGTTAATTAGTATATCTATTATTCTAGCTACCTTTTATTTTCGTCATTATTAGAACACTTAAAACCTATCTCTTTTCAAGTTCCAAGTGTACAATAACGTGTTGCTAACTGTAGTCACCCTGCTGTACATGAGATCTCTAGAGAGCTCTTGCTTTCTTCCATCTATTGGTTTAGGGGTGAGAACATAACCCAACTTCAGCTAATAAGACGTGAGAACTCTGTGGGGATTCCTGGAAAAGGCTATTAACTCCTAAATAGAGACCTCAAAGGAAAAAACAATTTTGTTTCTTCCACTGGACACCATGGTATTTTCAACAAAGAGATGGATCTGTAACAGACATTTTGCAATTAAAAAAAGACTAAGCCTGCAGAAATGACACAATAGGAGGCATGAGAACAGAACAATAGAAGAAAGCTTGTCCCAGATGAGATCATCAGTTTACCCAGTTAACTAAAGATGAATCTACTCTGTCTCTGGACTCCTTTTGTCTTTTTCTTTTGGGAAGATTCTTTCCTGGGATAAGTGCTTCATCTACCAGTTAAGACCCCTGTGTCCCACATCAGAGCAGCTGGGTTCAATTTCTGTCTCTGGCTCCTCACTTCATCTTCCTACTGATGTGAACCCATGGGAAGACCTGAATTGAGTTCCCCACTCTGTGCTTTGGCCCCAGCTCTGCCCTGGCTTTTGTAGCATATATGGGGAGTGAACCAGCAGATGGGGCAAATGGGCTCTGTCTGCCTCTTTGTCTCTCAAATAAACAAAAAATTTAAATATATACTATTTCCTTATTATTGAAGCTTTCTCTGTTACTTGCAACCAAAATCAAGGTATCTACTTCGTATTTGAATGGGGTATAGGTAATAGTTTTAAAAATGCATTATTGAGGGTCCAGCACTGTGGCATAGTGGGTAAAGCCGCCTCCTGCAGTGCTGGCACAGGGAGTTAAAGCCCAGCCTGCAGCGCAGGCATCCTATATGGGCGCTGGTTTGAGTCCCAGCTGCTCCACTTCTGATCACGCTCTCTGCTATGGCCTGGAAAGGAGTAGAAGATGGCCCAAGTCCTTGGGTCCCTGCGCCAATGTGGGAGACCCAGAGGAAGCTCCCGGCTTCTGACTTCAGATCAGCCCAGCTCTGTCTTTGTGGCCATCTGGGGAGTGAACCAGCGGATGGAAGCCCTCTCTCTCTCTCTCTCTCTCTCTCTCTTTCTCCTGCTTCTGTCTCTGCCTCTCTGTAACTCTGCCTTCCAAATAAATAAATAAATAAATCTAAAAAATGCATTATTGAATTAAAAAAGGTACAACACCAAAGTTTATCTACCATACTGCAAACTGAGATTTCTTTATCCCTAATTCTCACACCCAGATAAGGAGATACACTGAAAACATCTTGCAGCTGCTAAATGACTCAGCCTGGTAAGTTTTCTGTCTGGAATTATGTGCTACTCTGAGCACCTCTCATCGAACATTTCTGCAGGAGTGTGAATGTATGCATTCAACAGATATTTATTAGACATACATCTGTGAAGCTAGATTACAAGGAAGATAGCAAAATTCTGAAACATGATCTGTGCCTTCCTAATCCTGACCATCAAGCAAAGAGAAAGCAGGAATAAATGAAAAAGAAAAAATTTAAAGAGTACTATAAAATAGTATATGATAAATATAAAAAAATAATTACAATAAAATCCAAAGGCTAAATACATGGTGTAAAAATAAATTCTGGGATGGGGTTGTGGTGCAACAAGTTAATCTCCTGCTTGGAATGCCTACATCACATTGGAGAGCCTGGTTCAGGTCCCAGCTACTCTATTCCTGATCCACCTTTGAGTTAATGTACCTGGTAGGCAGAAGATGTTGGCTCAAGTACTTGGGTCTCTGTTACCCACATAGGAGAACTGGATTGGGTTCCAGGACCCTGTCTTTGACATGGATCAACACCAGCTGTTGCAGGCATTTGAGAAGTAAACCAAATGGGAGCTCTCACTCTCTATGCCTCTCTCTCTCTTGTTTTGCCTTTCAAGTAAATGAATGGATGAATGAATGAGTGAATCTTTTAAAAATGAATTTCATTAACTAGAATGGGAGAAAAAACAACATATCCTAGAGCACTCATTATAAATGATGGCATTTATATTAGGATTATTAGATAAGTTGAATAAGGTGATTCAGAAAGGAGGAATAAGGATTTTCTTTAAGAGTTTTTCCTTAACTCTACAAAGTAACATGCTGGATTGGGTAAGGAATGTGCAGAGAACATAAAATAGAAGGATGCTGCAAGGCAAGAATCAGAGATAAGGGAAGCATGCAAGTTTGTACTGATTATGGAAAACTTTGAACATCAAGCTTAGAAATCTGAACTTGATCCTGTTGGTAAGAATGTCATTGGAGGTTTTGAACAGGGAACTACAATGATGAAAGCAATCTTATTGAAGAAGAAATTTGGTAACTGTGCATGGGTATGGAAGGGAGGGATTGGAAGCAGGAAGCCAGTTGATAGGGCATTTAAAGAACCTACTGTTCTGAGAAGCAAATATTCAAAATTCAGGCCATTAAACCAGGTCCTCATAAGTAGAACTAAATTAAGTGGAATGAAATTGAGAATCTAGTAAAAGAATAAAATGCAGTGCAAAGCACTTGATACTATGTAGATTAATAAATAAAGTATTCAAAAATTTTATCTTTTTGGAAGTGATCATCATTGTGATAGGGCTTGATATCAATATAGAAGATCCCAGCTAGTACAAAGAGAAAAATAAGGATCAAGGGTATATGTATATTGGTCTCTCATTCCATTTCTTTATATGTATTTAAAGAGCACAACATAATTCCTGGACATTTTTTGATGAGAGTGTTTTAAAAGCTTTTACTTATTTGTTTTATTCAAGAAGCAGAGAGACAGAAAGAAACAGAGCATTTGCTGGTTCACTTCTCAAACACCCAGGAACAAGGAATTTAATCCAGGCCTCCCACATAGATGGCAAGGACCCAGGCATTTGCGCCATCACCAGCTGCCTCTAGCAGCATGTATTATTAGGCAGCTGGATTCAGAACTGAGATTCAGGTGAGGCACTCTGACGTGGGATGTGAGCAAACCAAAAGGCATCTTGAGTGCTGAGCCACGTGCCTGCCTCCAACACACTGTTTTGACATATTTATACACAATGAAGTAATTTTTATCATCAAGCAATCAACACATCCATCATCAAACAGTAATTCTTTTTGCATATAGTTGTGGGTGTGGCAAGAGCACCTACAGTCTGCTTTTTCTACAAAAATCCTTAGTCCAAAACAATATTATTAACTATAGTCATCATTCTACCTTTACTCATTTAGACTATATGTCTGCAATTTTAAAATGCCTTGAGTTACATCTCCCCACTTCCTCTGACTTTCCCCATTCTTTGTTTTATTTATTTTATTTATTTTTTTTTAATTTTTTTGACAGGCAGAGTGGACAGTGAGAGAGAGAGACAGAGAGAAAGGTTTTCCTTTTGCTGTTGGTTCACCCTCCAATGGCCGCCGCGGCCGGCACACCGCGCTGATCCGATGGCAGGAGCCAGGAGCCAGGTGATTTTACCTGGTCTCCCATGGGGTGCAGGGCCCAAGCACCTGGGCCATCCTCCACTGCACTCCCTGGCCACAGCAGAGAGCTGGCCTGGAAGAGGGGCAACCGGGACAGAATCCGGCGCCCCAACCGGGACTAGAACCCTGTGTGCCGGCGCCGCTAGGCGGAGGATTAGCCTAGTGAGCTGCGGCACCGGCTGTTTTATTTATTTTATTAATGTATTCATTTCTTTCTTGGACTCCACACCTACGTGAGATAATGCAATGTTTTCACGCTTAGTCTGACATGTTTCACTTAGCACAGTCTCTCTCAGTTTCCTCAGTGTTTTGTCAAATGCCAGAATCTCCTTCTAAGAGTGAATAATTTTGCACTAAAATCATAATATTCATTATTTTAAAAATTTGCACCAAAATGAACTTATCTTTCACTTTCACTTCTATTTTTCAGAAACATTTTGAAATATGTGTGTATGTGTGTGTGTATGTGTGTGTGTATACACAGTTTCTTCATCCATTCATCTGTACATGGACACTTATTTTGTTTCCACATCTTGGCTATTGTGGATATGCTACAATGAACATGGGGTGCAGATATCATTAAGAAGTTATTCCATATACTTTGGTTATATACTCAGAAAGAGATTGCTGAGTCATATAAGGTAGGTCTATTTTTTTAAATTTCTTTAAGAACTCCATAGTTTTCATACTGGTTATATCAAATATACATTCCCAGCAACAGTATATCAGAATTTCCTATTCTCCAAATTTTGCCAACACTTACTACTTAACTTTTTGGAAAAGCCATCTTAATACTTTTGAGTTGATATCTCATAGTGGTTTTGATTTGTATTTCCCTGATTGTTAGTGTTGTTGGCACATTTAATGTGCTAATTAGGTATTTTTATACCTTCGTTGGAGAAATGCTAATTCAGATAATTTATCCACTTTTTAAATTGGTCTGGTATTTTTGTTATTGAATTATGTGAATTTTTTCCTGTATTTTAGGTATAAATATCTCATCAGATAAATGACTTTAAATATATTTCCCTTATCTATAGGCTGCCTTTTCACTTGGTTGACTACTTTCTTTTCTGTGCAGATTTTTAATTTGATACCATCTTTTTCATTTTATGGCCTGAGATTTGTATGATATCCTCCCAAAAATCGTCATCCAAATGAACATCATGTAGTTTTTCATGTAGTATTTCTGCTAGGATTTTGAAAGTTTCAGGTCTTACGTTCAGATTTTTTTTCCATTTTAGTTGATTTTTCTGTTAATTCATGGTAGTTGGATCTTCTCGAGTATCCAAAATAGATAGTCCTTCTATTTCACTGTTCCACACACAACAGGTATAATCCTCATGAAACAAGTTAGAAAAAAAGATGTCACTTATTGTTAATAGTATTTTTGCTAGGATTTATGGTATTTAATTTTGAAATACATTTATGCAGAAATTATTTATATAATCTTTAATTATGACATTCATTTTTTCATCTAAGCATTTACTCATTTGTTTATACTTGTAATCAACATATATTTAAGTCCTCTTGTGTACTCACTGTTGGATGCTTGTAATCATTAGAGATATTAAAAAACATGAACAACATAGTTTTTCTCACTGGAGTTCATGATCTCACTATAAAAGGATACCACCAATACCTATAGTCTACTAAAACCTACATCATGGTAAGATTTATGATGCAAATGATCTAGATTTCTTTGGGAGCACACAGTAGAACAAACTGACCTTTTCTGGAAGGCTTCTCAGCAAAGATAATTTCTCTGTTCAGCTATTGCTACTTAGTAATTATGCAACATTGTGAAAATAAACTACCTTTCTGTAAATGCAATGAATTTTTATATGCAAAATGCTACCACTTTCGTGTGGCTGTTGTAAAGAGTAAAGTGTGTGTGTGTGTGTGTGTGTTTGTGAGACAGAGAGAGAGAGAGAGAATAATGACTGCTAACTAATAAACTAACCACTCAATAAATGTTAGCAATTATTATCAGTACTACGTCTTCATCCTCTTCATCATCACTCTGAGTCATGCAAAATCAGTAAAGATCACCTATGTGAATGAGGTGATAAGGAAGGGAGGGAATTTCATGCAGAGAGTCGAACTGATGGATGGGGACTGAGGAAATTAAGAGCAGAGCCTCTGGAGTAAGGGCAGTGTTTTCAAGTTGTCTGCAGATAATGAATTCTTACTGACCAGCATTTTCTCTGTTTGCAAGGGTTTACTGCTTTCCCCTCCCTTATCTTTATGTTTCCTATTCCATGCAGCCTGTATTTCTGTTCCAAGCAGCAACCTCCGTGTCTAATCACATTGTGACAACAGAAAACATGTTTCATCATGTTCACTGAACAGTGAGAAAATGGTTCTGATACAAGATTAAAAAAGAAAAATCTCCATTGAGTAGGAACTAGAATGCCAAAAATCTTCCCATGAGTTACTGTTAACCTGAATTCTCCCTACGCACACATACAATTCAAACAGTATACGTCCCCAAGTTATATGCAGATATTGTTCACAATGCACCTTTTAACATTTTTTGTAAATAACAAAAATCAGTATTTTCATCAGATTCTCAAAAGGGTCTATGATGCCCCCAAATTTTCTCTGAAGTGATTGATAATCCTGGATCATGCTTCATCATGTTTTACCAATTTTAACATGATTTACATATCTTTTATGCTTTTTGAGGTTTCCAAATTATATTTTATGGAGCACTGTATTTCACAGAGATACTGCTCAATATGGCAAGTTGTTGCTTCCATTTTCTTTACTGAAAGTCCTCCCAGTGTCAGGTTATACCCACAAGTTCTGGCATTACAGGAACTTGGAAACAAATTTCCAATGAGAAGTACTGTAAGGTGTTATTTTTCAAACTATCTGTGAAAAGAAACCATATTTTTTCTTTGTCCCTTTAACCTATGGCAGAATGATACTGTCATAAAATGAAAAAATTAAATATGGCAAGGTCATATTTCTGTAAATGGCTAAGCACGCTTCTTAGTATTGTCCTTGTAACAAACCAGTAAATATTAGCTCACACACCAGCACCATTCTTTGACCCATACTTTGATCAGCAGTAGTAGAGAACACTGGAGATACAATGTACACCTTTGAGGGACCTTTGCACTTTACAAGAAAATTGAGAAAGCTAGAGGGTCAATATATTTCAAATAAAGTAATTTTCTTGTACTAAAATAAACTTAACATGTCTACCTTGCACCACAACGTGAGGTATAGAGAACAGTATTTCCTGTAAGCAGAGTGTTGTACAGATTTAGAACTTTTCCATCTTAGACAGCTGAAACTCTACACTCACTGAACATCATTCTCTCAGAGAGAGATTGCTTTTAATGGTAAAATTCAATTTATAAAGGTGATTGGAAGGAGGAGCAAATTCTCAACTGCTTCTTACTGTGTTTATGGGCTGAATGAATCAGATGACATGCATTGTTGGGTGACAGGACTTAAACAAGAGCAATGAACTCAATATTAGCTATTTCATTTCCCTTCCTCTATCATGCCAGAAAGTCTTAATGACAATGGGAGTTTCTGGGATTTTGGTTTTGTTTTGTTTTTCTATATGAAAGATCAGTTAATATGCTGCATACAGCGTTTACTTATTTATTTTTACAGCTTTTATTCTTGTGTTTTTTTAAAAACTAGGGATCTTAATGCAAATACGCTTTAAAGGCATTTCATTAAATTCTAATGATATGATCGACATCTATACAACAATAACAAAACTAAAGTCAGACTTCAAGGTACGTACTTGGTAACAAGTCAGAGAACATAAAATTGTACCAATATAAGGTATTATAGGATGAACGTCCTTGGATGCATTTAGACAATAAGAACTAAATACATTAAGAAAAAGGAAAAAAACATTTTTCTAAGGGTAGAGATGAAAATTAATGTTAATAACTTTTATACTTTTCCCATTTTTGTTATCACATGCATTTTAATATTTTGGAGAGGAAATGATTTTTAAATTACTTTTATTATCAGATACATATTCATTGTACAACGATTCAGAAACTATAACACCAATGAAGAGATAACTATACCTTATATATAGGCAGAAGAGAAAATTAAAGTGAGTAATGCTAAAGCACATGAAGATGAAGATAAGAGAAATCGTATCATTTTTCCTACATAAAATAGGCAAGATTGAGAAACTGTACTTAATTTTCATAAGGGAAATGTAGTAATTTGAAAGGGACAAGTGAATGATCAAGACGGGGAGGTTGTGGAAAGTAGTGGAATTTCAGATTAGTTGACACAGTTAACATACTGGCAAAACACCGAGTTCTAAATGATATTTTCTTTACTTTTTTTTTTTTCTTTTTTCTTTTTTTTTTTTTTTTTTTTTTTTTTTTGACAGGCAGAGTGGACAGTGAGAGAGACAGAGAGAAAGGTCTTCCTTTTGCCGTTGGTTCACCCTCCAATGGCTGCCCTGGCCGGCGCGCTGCGGCCAGCACATTGCTGCCGGCGCACCGCGTCGATCTGATGGCAGGAGCTAGGTACTTATCCTGGTCTCCCGTGGGGTGGAGGGCCCAAGCACCTGGGCCATCCTCCACTGCACTCCTGGGTCATAGCAGAGAGCTGGCCTGGAAGAGGGGCAACCGGGACAGAATCCAGTGCCCCGACTGGGACTAGAACCCAGGGTGCCAGCACCGCAAGGTGGAGGATTAGCCTGTTGAGCCACGGCGCCGGCGCATAAATGATATTTTCATTGAAAACCAGTTAAATGTAAACATTATGGTTTAATTCCTGGATTCATCAACTTTGAGAAAATGCCCTGCAATGTTTACAGGGAGATTCCCTGAGTCATTTTGGTGTTCCTAGGTGATAGAAACAGTTTTCTACTGATGAAAATGAAAAATAATTGTGTTTGCATTACTCTTCAAATAATCATACAATGTGATTATATAAGGTAGGAAATGACTCACAGTCAATTTATGAAACTACAAGCCTTGGCTGTGAAATAGTTGATTTTTTATATGATTTTGTTAAACACAGACTTAGAGTCCTACATGATCATGATGATCATTTTAATGAAAACTATCCACTGGATGAAAAGCAAAAGCAGAATAAAAAACACAGTTCCCTAATCAGATCTTGTTACAGTGTATTAATATCACAGTGAGTTGGTGACTCACTACTAAATACTAGATTCACAGTTCCAACTGCCTACTGAGTAAATCCTACCTGGTCATTGCACCAGCTTTTCAAATAAAATGTGTAACAAATAATTAGTTTATTATCTTTTCTCACCTACTATAGTCTTAAATTATGTCCTTGTCATTCTTATTTCAGGCATTCAACATAGAAATCTTAGGACAGTTTTCTAGTCTTCTGTCCTAAGCATAGCCAATGTTATGCCAAATTCATATGATATTACAATAACATTAATGAATTAGACAATATTCCTTGAACACTTACTGTGAGCTAGGCTCTAAATACTTTGTAGAGTTTTTATTTTTTAAATCCTAATTCTCATACAATCCATAGGTAGTAATTTTGTTATTCTCATTTAACCAATGAGGAATGAAAAGCTTAGAGCAATTAAGTAACTAGTTTAAATCCATGCAGCTAATAAGCAGGGAAATTGAGATATGAATTTATACTGTTTCCTCAATACTGTTTCCCGTCTCTTCCTTTACACTCAGATATATTATTCTCATTCAGCATTTAATCATTTTTATTCTCTCTGAGCTTTCTCATATACTAGAGTCACTTCCTTTAAAGTATCATAAATACTTTCCTAGAATTCATGGGTGATGGGTTCCAGAACTCCCTGTGAGTACTAAAATCCACAAGTGCTGAGGCCCTTTACATAAATGGTGTGCTTGCTTATAACCTGCATACTATGCTGTAACACATCTCTTTGATGATTTTTAGTACTTAATACAATACAAATGCTACACAAGTAGCTATCGTGTATTGTTCAAAAAAAAAAAAAAAACAATAATTGCAGTAGCTAAAGGGCTGAAACTTTCATAGCTTGGATCCTTTTCACCTTTCCCACCTTTTCCCCCCCATTTCCAGACAGTCATTCAGCTGATGCTCCAGCTAAATTAACAATCTGCTTTTCCTTAGAGAATTGTGCATGTGAGCAAACTGGGAAGCATTGAATGTTTGACAGTGAGTTATGCCTGCAAGGCAGTAAGTACTAGACTGGAAAGGAGGTTATGGCCAGATCCCAAAAAGAACTTGAATGATGGGTGAATGAATTTGACTTTTAGCCTGGTAAGGGAAGGTAGGAGAGGTGTCTCTCTCTGGGGCATACAGTCTCTATTCTCTGTATCTGAATGTAGTTTATTTCAAATAATTCAATTATTAATGAGGACTGTGAGATAATAATAGAGCAAAATATTTGATTTTCTCAATATTTTAAAAATCAAGGTGGGAAAACTGCTAAAATAATTTTACAAGAAATCTAATCAGAAGAAGTATTTTCAGAAGATTAAAATAATAAAAACTGACCTATAAGTAGTTGTTTTGGTGAAATACAATAATCAAACCATCTGTTATAGGACATACAATATGATAGTGCATGATTACCAGATATTATGTTAGCCAGTTTGGAACTTTAACTTAAAAATTTCTTATTATTTAAAAACATTTTTTATCAACATGATTTTTTTTGCTTAACTTTCTCAGAGAATCCAGATATATGCCATTTCTTTTTGTACATTTTTATTATTATAGAGGATGTGAAATCAAACATAAATATCAAAATATGGCAATCAATAATCAGCTTCACATTGGGCATTCTAGATAATGTACCATGATTTTTTATTTTAGGTTTTATAAAAATAATATTTTAAGAATTACAAACACAGTGGTAGGTTTCATTAAAAGAACATTTTTCAAAACACCAAATGGTTTTTATTGATGGTTTAAAAAATAGCTTACATATATTACAGGGTAGCATTCTCTATCTTGTATTCCATACATGTCAGAAAAAGGACTCAGGCCCAGGATTGCATGTATTTGGAACACTGAGAATTCCATGGGCATGACATTTTCTAACCAGATAAAAATACACATGCATATGTCTGTATGACTCATTCCACACAACTCAAAATTGCCAAAGAGTGGGTGTAGCTATGAATATTACTGCACAATGTAGTTTTTAAAGAAAAAAATTGGCAGCTTCCAATCTTCCTGGATAACTTTAGATTAATTGAAATTTAAATTAATAAAATGCCCAACTCAAAATGCATTAAAACTATGTCTAATGCTGGAGAACAAATGAGGTAGAATGAATAATACAAAACCAAGGTGATAATTACTTTATAAGCACATGTATTTTGTCTGTCTGGCTACTAAACTAAGTTAGATCTTATCTCAGTAAGTATTTAAATCAACAATTGATTTTTTATCTGTACTTCAATTTTATTTTATTTCATATCTAATTTGTGAGATATGAATTGTCCAGATACTTTTATTTTCATTTTAAACACTCTAAGTTACATTATACTTATTAGTTATGAATAAACCAGGGTTTAAAAATAAGGACAGTTTTAATATTTCATTTTTAATGTTTTCTTATTCCAGGTACTATGATGTGACTTTACATGAAGTTTCTCTACAACCCAAAAGAAAAAAAAATGAACTGCATACTATTATTATTTTTTGACTGTTAAATAAACAAATAAAATATTCCACAAAACTAGAAAATGATATAATCAGAAATTAGTGCAACATTTTTCTAATGACAAATTCCAACTTTAAACTAGTACGCTATTTAATGTTTTCAGAAAAAGTTTCTTTCTGTTTGAAAAAGTCATGGATTCAGTGATAATGATTAAAATTCAAGTGAAAAGAATTAAATGAAGATTTCAAGCAAGTATGTAAATTTTGAAGTATAAATAATCATATATTTAAATATGTCCAATATACTCACTAAAAGTTCCCACTTCATATAAATTTTCAATTACATAGATAAATTCACCCAAATCTTCATGTAGCATACCAGTATTAGTCATTTTTTACACAAAAGTTCATACAAACATAGTTATGTACAGAAGTCATATAGGAAGCTTGTTGGAAAGTATTTAAATCAATTTTTCCCATTAAGAGAGCCGAGCACATAAATTTTTTTTGTAAATCTCTTCATAGAATTTTTTTCTTAAATTGGACACTTAGTAAAGGTTACGACCAGTGAGATCAATAAAATGAACCCACTTCATTACATGACTATGTGTGGAAGAGAAAAAGCACATTTGTATAGAAAACAGCCCTCTCTGGTTCATTTTTGTGCCAGTCACTGTAGCTTTTGCTACTAGTATTGACCGTGAAATTGGCATTGTGAAGCATAAAGGTTTTGCTTGCTGTCCTGCCATCCATTTTATTGACTTAGGCACAAACAAGCATCAATCAACAGATACTCACTTTGTGCATATTGAACAAAGCAAAAAGGAAACAAACAAGAAGCATTATTCTCTAATATTGTCTGCATGCTTCAAACCTAGCCTCAAAGGCTTCGATCACAAACATGTAACTGCATGTGTGTTTGCAACCTAAAAACTCTGGTCTACATCAATATCTTGTCTACCGACGCATATATCCCTATTCATCTAATAATATATTTGACCTTGGCTCTTTATCTGACTTGAATTTTTCCACTGTTTCACAATTGTTCTTCTTTCCTCAGAGAGCAAATATTGACCTGATGTTAAATATAAACTTGTTAAGTTCAAGTGTGTTACAAATATACTTTTATCCATGCACTCAGGCATTATTTCTTTCATTTAATAACATGAAATTAACTAATCAGCACTACTACAGCCTTTTTCTTTTTTTTTTTTTTCAAATATTTATTTATTTACTTAAAGTTAGAGTTACACAGAGAGAAAAGGAAAGACAGAGAGAGAGAGAGTTCTTCCATCCACTGGTTCACTCCCCAAAGTGGCCTCAATGGCGGGGAGTTGCACACGTCTGTAACCAGGAGTTTCTTCCAGGTCTCCCATGTGGGTGCAGGGGCCCAAGACTTGGGCCATCTTCCACTGTTTTCCCAGGCCATAGCAGAGAGCTGGATCAGAAGTGGAGCACCCAGGTCTTGAACCGGGACCCATATTGGATGCTGCATTGCAGGTGACCGCTTTACCCGCTACACAACAGCGCTGGCCTCTAGCCTTTTGCTTTTTGTTTTTTTTTAAACTATAAAAAGTTACTTAGCCACTATGAGCTTCAGTTTTCTCACCTGTAAAATTTGCATAATCACAGTGAGTTGTAATTGTAGTGAAAATTAAATGAGAAAATTTCAGGCCTAAAACATGACCTGAAAGGTCCTTCATACATGGCGGCTCCTACCTTTCTTTGAATAGGGCTTTGGTGAACTCTGAATTTAATAGTAATGACAGGTTCATTTCATCAAAACTGTCAGCTAAATCACTTGGTGAGACAGTCACTCATTTTTCTAACTTTATGAAATTGGGCTTCAAAAATGAAAATAAATATCACTTTTATATATTTAAATATATTTTATATATTCAGGAAAGTATTTCATAGCCATCATAGGTTGCATCTTTGGGGAGGAAGAGATGGGAGTGAATGGGCATCAGTGATGGGTGGAATGAAGGAAAGAGAGACCTCACATTAACCAAGGAGGATGTACCAGATCCTCAGCATAATGATCACACTAATCTCCTGCTCCTGAGAAACTGAATGGAGTGAGGAAAAGAAGCAAACAACCAAAGCAAAAACGTATTAATCTTTTCTGCTGGCACTAAGAAAAAAGTGAGCATCACATGTTCTATATACAAGTAAATATGGTGCCTATGTGTGTTTATAAAGCAGATGTAGTTTGTCTATTTATCAACCCATGTAGCTCTCTACCTATGTCGCCAATGAGAGTTAGTGATATATGGCCTTCACACTGTGATCTCTAATCTGCATAGATACTGCAACCTCATTTGCACTTACTTTTTACTTGTATATGTTGTTAGACATCTTTCTTCGGCTCCCTCCAAACAATGATGGACATCAATATTTTGAGAAAAAATGATGACTTGTAAACACAGACTGCTCATAGAGTAAAATATATAGATTTCATTACAAAGAACAATTTATATTTAAGTTATATACTTTAACTCACAACATAATTTTAGTCATAAATTGCAAATCATTCAATTATTTATAATGAGGAAGGCAAGATAGAAAAATCAGACTATTTGTGGGTATTCAGTTAAGATTATTTTGAACCAAAAGAATGCATTTTATAGAAGATGTAATGATTACACTGTTTGATAACTCTATAAAGAGATATCTAAAGTCATGAGTCCATGGTCTACATTCTTCTATTGATTAAAATTACTTCTTTTATTACTTTAATAACAACAAACTTCTTGGATTTCTACTCCACTCAAAATGATTTAAATTAAGGATTGTATACATATGTATACATATACAGGAAGAATATTTCTGAGAACAAATTTTATCCTAGCTTTTCTTTATGCTACCCTTCCAATACAGAACATGTAGGGAATAAGGCACTTAGAATAATACTAGTTGGTTTTACTGCATTAGTGAAAAATGAAGTCTCAAATATTCTTTCAGAGAATGGAGAGATCACTCATTCTCCAGAGAATATACCTTGAATAATATCCTTCAAAATACTTAAGGGTGGGATTTTTCTGCTGGTGATTAAGACACTGGTTAGGATACCCAAACTCCTTATAGGAGTGGCCGGGTTTGGGGCTGGCTCTGCTCCTGACCCAGGTTCCTATTAATATGCACTCTGGGACACAGTAGTTGATGGCTCAAGTGGTTGCGTCCCTGCCACCTACATGGGAGACCCAGACTGAGTTCCCAGATGGACTCAGCCTGGCCCAACCCTGTCCACTTTGGGTATTTGGTGAATGAACCAACTGATGGAAGTTCTTTGTCTGCATCTCTCACTTTGCCTTTCTGTTTCTCTGCTCTCAAATAAACAACACTAAATATGTATGAAATTCGCTGTTTTGCCTTTTGCCTATATATTTTCTTTTTTTAACTTTTATTTAATGAATATAAATTTCCAAAGTACAGCTTATGGATTACAATGGCTTCCCCCACCCCCCGATGACTTCCCTCCCACCAACAACCCTCCCCTTTCCTGCACCCTCTCCCCTTCCATTCACATCAAGATTCATTTTCAATTTTCTATATATACAGAAGATCAGTTTAGTATACATTAAGTAAAGATTTCAACAGTTTGCACCCACACAGAAACACAAAGTGAAAAATACTGTTTGAGTACTTGTTATAGCATTAAATCAGAATGTACATCACATTAAGGACAGAGATCCTACATGAGGAGTTAAGTGCACAGTGACTCCTGTTGTTGACTTAACAAATTGACAATCTTGTTTATGGCATCAGTAATCACCCTAGGCTCTTGTCATGAGCTGCCAAGGCTATGGAAGCCTTTTGAGTTCACTGACTCTGATCATATTTAGACAAGGTTGTAGTAAAAGTGGAAGTTCTCTCCTCCCTTCAGAGAAAGGTACCTCCTTTTTGATGACCTGTTCTTTTTCATGAGAGTCAAATTTGAATCAATTCAAGACATTAAGACAAAGGTGTATTTATTTTAATCATATTATTTTTATTATCTGCTTTTATGACATAATAAAATAAATATTAACTGAACTTCAGCATAATTTCTGTGAAATGATTTACTTAAAATGCATTCTATAGAATAATGATATTGAGTTGGATTGAATCATAGATTTTAGATTTTCCTCAGCATAGAAAATTTAAAAGATATTATTGTATCATAAGTATAATAGTAAAGAATGGGAAATTCTCCATGGAATTATGACTTATATTATGCTCCTAATAAGAAAAAAATTTCTATTTTTCCTATTTAATTATGAAGTGTGTGAGAAATTTTGTTCTGATTTGTCCATGGGGTAATACGTTTCATTGTTGCAATGAAAAGTATTTGCTAATATTGGGATTTTCCATCCTGATGCCTAGAGAACTACAACAACAAAAAAAATGTGAATACTGCATTAACTCAAGTGTCCAGGAACAATGTGAGCGCATGGCGGGCAGAAGCCAGGAATTCATGAACAATGATCCCCCTTCACAGACCTGAATGCAAAGCCCTTTGCCAAGAGATTCTGCTGTAGTTGTCCTTTGACCACACTTCAAGAAACATTTGTTTGGGATCTGACTCCCATCCTTATCATTATAGGCTCAGACCGTTGACATGATTTTAAGTACATTAAGTGTATAAATCCATCTGTCTGGAGCAGACTCATGTCACACTCAAATTCAGAAAAAGCAGTATTATATATAACTCATGAGTTCATAAGTTCATAGACAGCAATACATTTAACAAGATACTAAAAGCACTGGTTATAATTAAAGCTATAACTTTCATGCAAAGCAGTACATTAAGGTCAATAAGTCAAGGTAATTACAATATCTGCTAAGAGATGGTTTTTGTAGAGGCAACTAATGTGAGGCTGGAGAGTGCCAAGACAAGTGCCATAACCTGTCTTGCCCAGAGTAAGTTCAGGAATCCCCAGAGAAATGAACAACACAGTCAAGATGGTTACAGGTGACCCCAAGAAACCAAAGGGCAGGATGTCTCCTTATGCTTTCTTTGAGCAAAAATGCAGAGATGAACTTAAGAAGAAAGATCCTGAAGTCTTTGTTAATTTTGTTGAAATTTCCAAGAGGTGCTCTGA